CAGATGGCAACAGAACAGAAACAATCTGTCTTCTGAGGGAAAGGGGCAGAATTTGCAATAGGGACATGCTGTATATCTGTGCTGCTTTACAAAATGCTTCTACAGTCATCCTTGCATATCGGCATACAGCAGCAGGAGGAATGGAACAACATCTGAAAAAAGTGAGCAGGCAACCCCCCCCGTATTAGTCATTGCACAAATTCTTCAGTTTTCTCTCCAGAGAGAGTGACACATTAAGTCTGGGAATGACCATATTCAAGGTCGTAACAACCCTATCTGACCTTTGAATTTTCCAGAGTTCATTGGTGTTTGCATTTGGTCTAAAACATAAGTGTAGCTAGCTACTAAATTTGGATCTTAACCTACCTTCAGATCAAGCATTCTCTGGGGAACGTGATCGGTGAACAACTTGTCTGAATAATGCCTGAGTCTGATTTTTATTAAAACTCTCTTTGAGTACCTGATCCAACTGCCCTGGAATTGCTGTAACTAAATCTTATCCATAGCATCTGATGAAGTGAACTTAAGGTGTGCCTACCCGTACATTTAGGTGTGCCTAAATTTAATGATATTAACTGAATGTGCATTAAGCCGGTTTAGGCAGGCGTCTACACTTCGAGGCAGTAAATCACATTAATGCTGTGTGTGGACCATTTTAGGATTAAAGTTAGTCCAAAAACAGTCCACGCACACAGTGTTCATGTGCTTTAACATGTCTACATGTGCATTAATGCGCGTTAACTATTCACACCTAAATTTGATACCAGCATTTGCAGGTATTCATGAATTCTTTCATAATACTTTTTTTAGAGGAACTACAAACAGTTGCATAAACCTCCAAATAGGAGGAGATTCAGAAATAATGTAGCGTTCTTTCTGTATTAGAAATGATCAGTCTGCTTATTGATTTATGATAGTTGTATTTGCTTATGCCTCCGGTGCTGCTTGGCAAGTTTTCCGATTAAACTGCTTTGGAACAATTGAAATTCTCATAAGAACTCTGAGACCAAGGGCTCCCCCTTTAGTCGCTGACACATGGAAGCCATGTGCATTCATCAGGTCTGTCTATGGATTTGGTCGGATATGGTATGCTATAACGACCAGTCAATTCTATGGTTTCATCCACAACATACCCCTTTACCCTGCCTTCTGCCTTTCAAAACTGTGGAGAACAAACCCCACAGAATACCCACAGAAGCAGGTGAGCAAACGATGGAGCCAAAGGAGTCAGTCTCTTCACCCTGCCTCCCACATCTGCCTTTCCTAAGAGAGCTTAAGTTTGGCAACCATTTTGTGAAATGCCATGTCTGGCATAGCTGGGTACCAGTGTTCATGCTGTAAGTCTGCAGTTTAGGTCTGCCAGTCTCTAGAAACTGGAATGAGACTGTAAGATTAAGCAAAGCGGTACCAAATATGGAAGAGGTCATATCTATTTTAATTGGAAATTTTAATGTAGAAATAATTTAATTATAAATTACATGAGGAAAAAGAAAATTGGAACAGCTGCTTCCAAGGCACATGAACCAGAACGTTTTCCATTACTTGTACTACATAAATAAATAGACATACCAACTAGATGTGTACAGATAACAACAGGAACATGAAATAATTTAAGGAGCTAACATATTAGGGGCAAACTCGATAGAAAAATCCCATTGAATCAAAATAATTTAAATAAATAAAGTTTGTACATGATTCCTTCTTAAATAAGACATTTTAAATATTATATATACATGTATGTAATAATATGCTTAAGCGCCATAAATAATTCCTTAAGAATGAGAGCACAGAAAATGCCTCATGAATTTTGGCAGCTTTGTTTTGGAAAGCCACCAAAGTCCTAGTCCTTAGCTAAACAGACTGGCTGTGACTGGCTGTTGATACAACATACTAAAGGACCTCAGGTGAGGTGGAATCGCTGCCAGTTTGCTAATTTAGTAGCAAAAAGGCAAGGGTTTATATAAATGCAGCTTTGCTGCAAGTGCATAGCACTGATAAAAATATATTTAGCTAAAGTGATGTCCAAAGGGTCTTCGTCTCCTTCGCGAAATCACTTTTCCTATTCAGTGGTTTTCAATTTCACTGAGTAGCACATACCATAAATACCTGAATCTTTTCTGAACAAAGTGATAGTTTTAAATAAATATATAAATAGGAAATAGATACAGTAAGTCTTAGCCTGCATAAAAACATATGGGTGTAGAAGGTGGACGTATGTAGGCTGCTTGAAGGCTCATTGGCATTTTCAATTAGATGTTTCCTTCTGGACAGAACAGGAGAAATGTGTAGATTTTTCTTCTGCTGCTTTTCTTAAAGTGGTGTTTCAATGTTGGATTCAGCCCTGCAAACAGCGGGAGAGAAAGGGACGGTTTAGAAACATGACCAAATATCATTGGTTGGAACAGATTGAACTCAGCAGTTACAGGTTTATATTGCCATGTGCAAGCCAACTTCTGCCCCAGTTGGCCATTGGGAAGCTACAGTACAGAGATCCTGAGGTCCACCTTTTCAAAAGTATGTCCTGATTGAGTTTGCTGCCAGTATTGGATGCCTAAGTTGAGAACTTGTGAGGCCTGATCCACTTCTCATTCATCTGTGAAAAGCCATTAAGTGGAATGCGTGCATGAATGGAGAAGGCGAACATGAATGGAAAATCAGTCACTGAGAGAGTGATTTTCAGAGGCACTGATTGTAGGACTTAGTTTCTTCCAACAGTGTTGGAGATGCTCAGCACATGTGGGTAATATCAAAGTCTTACCTAAGTCACATATAAAGTCTGGGGCAGGGTTGGAATTAAACCCTAGCTTCCTAATCTGACCACAGGATTGTTTTCCTATCATATTAGCTGGATAGAGAGAATGTTTGGAAACAATTGCTCATATCTGATGAGACCCTTAATTAGATTATGCTAAGAAACTCTCCACTTGTTGTCTTAAGCAGTTAAAACGGAGAACGAATAACTTACTTGTTCAAAATAGCCTCGACAAGGCGCGTCACCCAGGGGGCTGTGGGTTCCAGACACACTTCTCTGCCATCCTTGAGAGTTGCACTGTAAAGAAGAGAAACAAGGACAGTCAGGCATCTTTATGGTCAGTTTAACTTTACCATCGTGACATTTTTTTTCTGTTTGTGTATGTCACTACATCAGGTGTAAATTGGCAATGGCACTAAAGAACCTGCTCATGTTTGCTTGATGGGCCTTAATTCATTGGTCTTCCACTGGGGTAAGTGAGAATTTGGCTCTTGAATGTATGTTGCTTGGGATACTGAAAATCTAACCCATCCTTATAGTGCAGTACCTGACACCTACTGTTTATACTCCATGAAGAAGTTGAATTCCCAAACCCAAGAAAGAGCCTGTGGTAGAGACTGAGAAGCACAGTGCAGTGCTGAAAATAGTGTCTATGGAAAGAATCATTAAGTGCTAATTATATGGGATCTCCCTGATAAGTGAAGACAGACAAATCTTTCTGGCTACTGTCAAAACTCATGCTCCTAAACAATACACGGTTGTTTCCTCCTCATTAACCAAATAATTTGTAGAAGTACTTACATGACTTCAACATTTGTGCAGTGAGGCCCACTTTGGGTCATTTTCACATCCTGAATATGCTTAAAAGGGATGAACTTGGAATGAGTGGTTATGCACTGGCACCGGAGCTCATTTCCTACCCGTGCCAGGGTCATGCCTGTAAAAGAACAAGGAAAATGTGGTCAGTAAAGCAGAAACTCTCACCATCTGAACATGGATATCACAACAAATTACTTTTGATTAACAGAATACTTGTTAATCATAATGGCTATGTTTTTGACAAGGCTATACGTTCCTGGTTTCCTGGATTCCAGTTCCTCTAAATCCTCCAGATATCAAAATGTTTATTCTCTTGATCAAACAAATGTTATAAAATTACAAATCTTTGTCAATTTTTTTTTAAATCCACTCTGACTAGGGCAAATCCTTTGCCTGTCTTCATCATTTCATATCTTATTCATGCTATTAAAACTAAAAAGATTTGACTCCTGTTTGTTTATTTGATCATCTTTCTCTATTTATTCTTCCCTTCAAGTTGTTTAATTCCTTACGATGACAATCAAGGGTGATATCACAAACAGGAAAATGCTGTCAGAAAAGGCAGAAGCAGATCACTCATTTGAAAATTTTAATAGAAAGTTCTTGTCTTCCATCAAATGTCTTTAGAATCACAGGGTAGCAATCTAATGTTAGACTAGGCAACCATTGATCCTCTGGATGATGGTGTATATGTATATGGCCTAGTCAGGTGCTTGATGTATATATATATTCATCTAATATACATGATATTATAATATGTATGAGATAATAATGATATATTAATCTAATATATATGAGAAAGAACCAACATTTTCTATAGTAAGTAGAATTTTTTCAAAATTTTCCACAAGGTGTCAGCAGCTGTTCTGAAGAGCATTTGTATAGCAAGAACAGCTGTTGTTGAAAACAAAAATTATTTTAAAATGTTTTAAAGGAATTACCTTTGTAAAATATTACTGAAACTGTCCCCCCTTCTGAACATCCCTATGTACCTATGCATAAGCAATGCCTCCTTCATGTGAGTTTTATGAATAATTAACTTCCCTTCAGTCACAGCTGCGGAGATGAGGAAGACAGCCAAGACAGCCAGAACAAATTTGCAGTTCATGATTACTCGAAAGTTTTGTTTTTCTGCCTTGTATTTTCTGGCTTGGAGTCTAAGGAGCAGTGAGCTCTGTTGTCTCAGAGGGCTTCTGATGCCTGAGCTGTGTAACTCACCCTCTTTATATACTGTCTTCTCCCAGTGTGTGTGCTTTAACACCAGGAGTGGATTACATCATCGGAAAATCCAAAACTGTGTAACACAGGACAGCAATCACTCTATTGCGGGTAAAACCCCTTTCTAGAGGATGACGCAATTACTTATCATTCAAATAATATACCTTAGTAATGAATGTAATAAAATATACAACCTATTAAACATGTTTCACTTAATTCAGTGCAATTTGTATATACCTTTATTTCTATAACCTTTACTTTTTCCTGATCTTTTTCCTACTTCATCCCCTTATATCCTCATTTAAAAGTTTAGGGTAGTATTTGACTCATAACTTTTCACTTGTGTATGTTTGTGATATGCTGCTTTTAAGTAAAAATGTTACAACTAGGCTTTCAGTGTGTTGTTACAAATATAAAACATTCCTTTTCCTCCCCTATGTACATACTAGCTTTGATTATGGTATGTACTTGGAGATTAAATGCCTGGACCCAGGGAAGTCAGCTATCAACTTTACAATTACTCAACTGGAACTAGGATTTCATACTGTTAATGGAAAATATTATTCTGATATGACTTGATATTTTTGTTCTGCTAATGAAGCAGGGTTGTTTTTTTTTATTATTCCCTCTTCCCCACTCCCCCCCCGCCCTTCTCCTCCCCAGCTTACACAATCTTATCTTATGGAGACAAATCACCCAAGTGCTTCCTGTTTTATAAGAGGATGTTGACTATTATTTTCAAAAGCTGCATGGTAAGTTAGCTTTCAAAATCTCAGCCTTAGTAGTGTATCAATATAGCTGAGTTTTTCTTTTCCTTAATGGAGAATAATATTAAAAAAGACTAGCTGAAAATTAATGAAATACTGGTGCCCAAGTGACATTGGATTTAGAAAATATGACTGCACAGGGAAAGACAGGAAGAGATGATAAGCAGCAAGCCCCATACCCCTCTCTGAGTCATTCCCCCCCCACCCCACCCCCCGGCCACAGAAGGCTCTCTGGCAGATGCCTCACACCCAGGACAGCTACCAGTAAACCCTCAGCAGGGGGCTCTCTGGCAGCTGTGTGTCCCCATGGGCCCTGGGCCAGGAGAGCTTTGCCCACTGGAGGGACAGCTGTCTCTCAGCCTGGTGCACATCAGGTCCCCTCCTGATGTGCAGGGAGCCAGGAGACAGCTGCTGCTGCAGCTGGCAGAGTGGTCCTTGCCTTGTGGGTTTTGGGACCAGCCCATGGCACTTTACAGCCCCTGGGCTAGCACCCAGGGGAGCCTGGAGCTTCCCATGGCTGCTGCAGGGGGGCAGAGCAGGGCTGGAGCAAATCTGCTCCCAACAGGGAGCATTGTAGACATGCTCTTGGGGAAAGATGAATGCACAGTATTTTATTGTGCAATAACTACTGTACAGTAAAATCCTATGCTCTCTATCACTTGTGGACCCCTGTTGCCTAGGCCAGTGTTTCTCAATCTTTTCCACCCCAAGGCACACTTAGTAAAGTGTCATATAGTCCAGAGTCAAAACCCTTATTAACAACCTACTTCAATAATGATCCCTTGCTGGCCTTCCTACCTTTGCTCTGTGTTTATTTTTTGTTATTGCTTTGAAGTCTGGGTTGTTTTTTTTTTAACTCTGCTCTTATTATTCTGTTGCTCTTGTCTCTTTCTTGTCTTAGAATGATGACTGTTAACATTTCAGAACCTCTCTCACCCAAACTACATTTGTTAGTTCACCCATCCTCTAAAACTAAAGTTTTCCCCAACACAGTCTAAGAACTTGTTGGACCATCTGTGTCCTGCTGTATTGGTTAAACAACAGCTATGCAAATAGTTAATGTTCCCCATTAATGCCCAGTGCTGTCCTTTACAGATACCTTTATTAATGGTTAAAAATTAACAGTTGATAAAACTGATAAAAAATCCCACCCAAAATCCTCCTGATTTTGGTGGTCTGTGGTAGAGCCCTCTTATGATTGCACACTAGTTCTTTTTTGCTTTCATCTTTACCCTTTCAGCTTATTGGACTTAGTCTGATCAACTGTGTTGATAAACAAATCAGGGCCGTCCAACTGATGGGCCACATGCAGCCCATGAGGGGTTAATTTGTGGTCCCTGGGCTCCTACCCAGCTGCCACCCTCCACCATTGCTCTGGCTGCAGCAGCCAGTGTCTCTTGGCCCACCCTCTTTCCTCTGGCATCCACTTCCTGTTCCTGACCCAGAGGTTGGTGCACATTTCTGCTGCTCTACAAAATGCTTCTACAGCCCTCCTTGCGTATTGCCATATAGCAGCAGGAGGAATATACTTTGATGGAACAACACCTGAAAAAAGTGAGCAGGCAAAACCCCATATTAGCCACTGTACAGATTCTTCAGTTTTCCCTCAAGAGGGAGTGACACATTAAGTCTGGGGAAGGTCATAGTCAAGGTCTTAACAATCCTATCTAGCCTTTGAATGTTCCAGAGTTCATAAACTGCTTTGGATTTATATAGGTACAAATTGCAGTTCTAGTAAGAACTCTGAGGCCAAGGACTCCCCCTTTAGTCACTGATCCTTGAAAGCCTTGTACACTGATCAGGTCTGTCTATGGATTTGGTAGGAAATGTTATACTCTAATGACCAGTCAATCCTATAGCTTCATCCACCACTTGCCCCTCTACCATTCCTCTACCCTGCCTTTTGCCTTTCAGAACTATAGAGACAAAGCCTACAGAGTACCCACAGCAGCAGGTGAACATATCATGGAGCCAAAAGAGTTGGAGTTTTCACCCTGCATCCCCAATCTGCCTTTCCTGAGAAAGCCTAGGTTTGGCAATTATTCTGTGAAAAGCCATATCTACTATAGTTGGGTGGCAGTGTTCATGTGGTTAGTCTACAGTTTAGGTTTGCCTGGGTGCATCTATGTGAGGCACTTTACTGCACAGTAGACTAATGTACAGTGCAGGAAAGCATCACTGTGGAAGATCTTGCTGTATACAAAGGATATTATTTTTTTGAAAGCTGCAGTCAATCTTCCAGGACCCAATGGTCCCCTTTGGAACTCACCTGCCTCACCTTTGATGAAAAAAACAAAAACACAGAAAGCTCTAACCTCAGGAGGAAAATCATTTGGTCACTCCTGCAACTTAATTGGCTGTTTCCTCTTCACAGAGCTCCTCCATTCCCATACTGTGCCCTTACCACTCCAGGTGTTTTGGTCACACTTCTCCACCATGTTAGTCCCCCCCTGTAGGGGCTATGTATCTATGGACCACAGTCTTAAAAGTCCTAATTAGTACTTCCTCTGCATCTGGGGGTTCCCATTAAGTTCCCCATGTCCAGCATAGTCAGTCAAACGGCCATAAGCCCAGAGCCTATCAGGTACCTTGGGTGACAGGTAACATGGGGCCTCGTCTCAGAGTCCCCATAAACCTTGTCCTACAGTTAAGAGTCAAGTGCTTCTTCAAGGAGGGATTTCTTTCTTTATCCCACCCCAGGAACTCTCTTTCAACCTCTGTTGTCCTCCTTGTCCTTAGGTACCTGGTATGGAAAGCCCACACTCAACACTCCAAATCTCCGGCGGACTATGTGTGACACTCCGGTCATGTACCTTTCCTCAGTTAAGTCAGTCTCAGTTCTACAGCTTTCTGCCATCTCCCGCAGTTGCGTGCACACACCGCACCTCTGTGTGGTCACGTGAGCCTCCGCTCATGCTGCTCCCCTCTCCGGGGAATTGATTGCTTGTCTGTCTCTGCTTTAACTTCCTGGAGAGTCAGCTGTACCTCCCAGCATGACTTCTGGTTCGCTGCCCTGCTGGCATGTCCAGCTGGTCTTCCTGATTAGCATCTGGGACCTCCTGCCGGTCTCCCTGATTGCTCAGTCCTGCTCAACTGGTAAGTTTTGCTGCATTAATTGCTCTTTGGGCTTCATATGACAGGGCATACTTGCTGCCCTGTCACAATCACTGTCTACACATGGAGGCACTTACTGTGTAGTAAAGTAGTCTACTATTAGTTTGCTGCCTGAAAATTAACCGTGCCCTAGTTACTGCACAGTAATGCACTTGTTGACACTGACTGGGAGCAAATTTGCTCCCGGTCAGCCCCACCACCAGGGGCCCACCCTCAGGCTAGCCCCAGGGCCATGGGATTCAGAGCATCTCCAGCCCTGGGGCTGGTGCAGCTTTTTGCCTGCCCCAGCTTGGCCTTTAAAACTCTGTGGTGACCCCGGGGGCCTGTGCCACCTGGTGTCAGGTTTTGGCCATTGGGTTCCACAGCAATGGCCATGTGCTGACCAAAGCAGCCTGCATGGACCCTGTGTAAGGAAGTGAAAGAAAAGACTTACCTGTCTGCAGCAGGAGGAGTCCCACCAGCCCTGCCAGAGCCAAGAGTATCGGGAGACCATCAGCTGCATCAGTTTATGAAAAGCTGCTGTATCCGAATCAGCCCCACCCACATCAGTGTGGGGTTTTCTGGCTTGCAGCCAGAGCTGGGAGGAGAAGCAGTGAGGAGCGAAGAGATGGCAAGAGGAAAGTTGGGGATGCTGCTGGGTGGAAAAAGGAGCTCTGGACCAGAGAGCAAGGGAGAAAGCTGCTCCCAGGATCCCAGAGAGGCTCAGTGAGCCTGAGGGCAGCAAGAGGGACAGCAGAAGTGGCAAGGGACAGGAGTGCCAACAGCACTCCTCCAAGGTTTTGATTTATTTATTTTTTTTGGTGGATCACAGAGCCTGGGAGGCTGGGCTGTAGCCCCAGGGACAGGGGCAGAACTGTTCCATGCTGGCTCGAGTGTTTCAGTGGGGAGTTGCTTGCAGGCTCACACTAGAGAGGAGCAAAAGAGGATTGGCAGTCGAATACGCCACACCAGGGAAGGCGGCAGGGGGCCTCAGAAACTTTCAGATTAGACACGGAGCATCTAAGGCAGAGACATGCCCAAGAGGGGTGAAGGGGATCAGGAAGCCCTTATTTTTCCTTTTGGTTTCATTTTATTACTTTGGGGAAGGGCTGGGCAGTAGAGAAAGACCTGC